ATACCCCTGGTGGGACAAAGAGGTGAGGTGATCAGGGGCAGTATCAAAGGCTAGATCCATGGGTAGCTTGACCTCTCATCCAAACATTAGACAATAGAGGGAAAAACCAGTGGCGTCATTTTCATTGCTATTATAGGCATGCACCACTGCAGCAATGTGTTTGCTCCACAATTGCTTCTTTTCTAATGTCAGGGTGCCAAGCATATTCAGAAGTGTTTGATTGGTTGAGGATCAACTTGAGGGTGATAAGGAGTAGTTCTGGACTTCTTTATCCCTAACAAAGCTAGCAGTTTTTTTTATTAATTTACTTTCAAAGTCTCTACCCTGATCTGAGTGAATCCCCTGTGGGAGTCCGTAATGCACAAATACATTTTCCACTAACACTTCGGCTACCGTGGATGCCTGCTGATTCTTTGTGGGAAATGCCTGAGCATATCTAATGAAGGGATCTGTCACTACTAAGACTTTCCCCTGTCCTCCAGAATCTGGTTCTAGACAAAAGAAATCGATACACACCAGCTCCATTGGTCCTTGACTTTGAAGGTGGCCTAAAGATGCAGCTTGTTTAGGTAGGGTCTTTCATTGTATACAGTTCAGGAAGGTGCGGCAGTGGCCAGTAGAATCGATCTCTCATCAGCAAATAGGTTCTCTCCTGTCCTAAATGCCCATGTTTATCATGTAGTGACCTCAACACCATTCTTCGGAATTAAGTAGGCAAAAGAGTTGCCATTATCGTCACTTCGGTCTGAGGGGCCCCTTTGGTAGACCACCCCATTCCGTAATTCCAATCTATCCCACTCTCTATGTACAATTTTTGGCATATGGGGGGATCTTCCACCCAAGGTAAACTGGTTTGCTGCTCCATAAGGGCTTTTCTTGACAGTTGGCAGAGCGGGTCTTGCTCCTGTGCCTTCTGCATATCTTTAGTGGTGAGCTGGGGTAGCTCCTCACCCTTCAGCTGTGAGACATAACAGTAATATGATGGAATGCAGGCACCTCTGGCACCTACCACTTCTGCGTAGACCATTCCTTTGACCACATACTCGGCGCCCTGGCTCATGGCCTGCACCTTTTCTGGAGACACTTGTAACCAGCTTGGCTCCGGGGCTTACTGACCATAGAGCCTCTTTGATAGGGCATCTGCATCTCTGTTTTACCTCTGCCATGCATAATATTATATTACAATGCTGTCTGACATTGTTTTAGGTCTTTTTTTAATTTTTTTTTTTCTTTGAATAAAAATTTTGATCTCTGAGTCTGATGATATGAACCAGATTCATCCTCTAATAGTATATACAGGTACAGAAGTATGTCTTCTGTTTGTTATTCTCAGAGTGGATTAGACATTTTGTTCCCTAACCATCCACAGCAGCTGGTTATTTATATTTACCACTGCATATATATATATATCAAGAATAAATTGTATTTTTTTTAAATGCCTCATCCCCTCTGCTCAGCTAGACAGAAAGATGGTGGCGCAGCTTCTTTTGTCTCAGTTTCCCTCTGGTACGCATCTGTACAGATGTTTAACAGAGGAAACCACCTCAGTTTGCATATCTGTGCCTGATTAGACCAGGTAGCGATCTGCAGCTAATCTGTGCTACATTATAGTGCAGATAATAATTTATAGGATGCACAAACTGTGACATTCCTGCAACAAATCAATTTGCAATTTTCCTGTTTCTAGTGCACATGGCGCACATCTGATTCAAGATAAGCAGGCTCTGTGTGTTTTTTTTGGCACATGCATACAAAAAAAAAAGATAAAAAAAACAATAGCTTATCAGATCCACTGTCTCCTAGTAACCTAGAAGGTCTCTGCTTCCATTTTATACGTATTTAGATTTAAAGAGTTTGATAACACATAACTCTGATCATTTGCATTATAAAGTTATAATTATTATTGGTAAAGAACTGTTGCACTGAGAGAGTGTGGACATGCCTTAAAGCTCCTTTCACACGATCGCACCAATGGAGTCCGCCTGTCCATTTTTCAGGTGGACCCGATCGGTCCATCCATAGACTTCTATGGACCAGCAGGTGTCAGCGGACAATAGTCTACTGACACCTGACGGCATCCTATTCGATCCTGTACATCAAAAATAAACAGTTGGGGATTGTTCCCCATTCGTCCAGCGGATCGGATGACTGTCGGGTGGAAACGGACAGGCGGTCCGTTTCCATCCAACCATCCCATTGAAATCAGTGGCAGTGTCTGTGCTGCTGTGCAGCAGTAGAGCGGACAGAGAATTATCATCCGCCTGCTCAGTGGTGATCTGAAAGGGGCCTGAAACATAGGGATACAATAATAATTATTCATTTAGGCCTCTTTGGGACTGTAACAGTTCCAAAATCTGTTTTTGGTCTCTAATTGTGGCTGGACACCGATCGATGTGTGAATCAATCAAAATGATGGAATCAGAAACCGATCAAATAACCATAACCTTTCTTCTGATTGCACTGTCAATTGCATTGATCAGGAACACCAAGCTGGTTCAGTTAGAAAAGTGATTGCATTTTGATCGATCAGATTACGAGGTTTCTTGATAGAAACAGACATCTGACTGATCATTTACATTTTTATTTCTAACTATTGATTGAATTTTACTTCCCTGTGTGTCACATACAGATAAATTGTGTTGTTGATTATCAATCAATTATTCCTATTGAAGAGATAGATTGGAAAAGAAATTAACACCTTACTGAAGTGTTTATTGTGATGGATATGGTAAAATGCCTATTTGGTTTCCTGTTGAATATATACATTTTTCTATACATATCTACTTTTAGATTTTTATATTTCTAAATGTTTTGTATGAATATATATATATGTGTTGTGTATCTTTTGCCTGCTGGTCTTTGTAGTCCTCCTTGCTCAAAAATAGCTGCTCAGCAACCCCTCCCATCGAGTGAACTTGAGAACAAAGGAAATATTTATTTTCAGAGATAAGACCTAGGACGGGTGTCGGCAACCCGCGGCTCCAGAGCCGCATGCGGCTCTTTTTCACCTTTGCTGCGGCTCCGGAGCACACTGCCCACCAGGTGACAGGCAATAGGGTTGCCGTAGCTCAGTGGTCGGCAAGCCGCGGCTCTTTTAACCTCCCTGGCGGTTTTCCCGAGTGTAGCTCGTGGTAGAATTTCTATACCACGAGCTACACTCAGGCTTACCATGCGGCGCTGCTCTGGGGGTCCCTGCAGCACTTACCTTGTCCTTCGCTCCCGCGATGTGTCCCCTGCAGCGTCCCCGGCCATCTCCTCCGGCCGATGCAGGCATCCGGCTTCTGTGTTCTGGTCCCCGTGACGTCGGGACGTACGGGCGCCGCCGGCGGCGGGAAATTTAAAAAATGTCTTTTTTTTTTTTTTTTTCAATTTTCAATAGTAAAACATTGCTGTTTCATCCCATTTCACATACATATTGTCCCTAGTGCTTTGTCCTGTGCCCTGCCTGCATTTTGTCTGTTCTTTCTGCCTGGAAACTTAGAAAAGTCCATGGCGTCCACAAAGCGTCCCTTTAGGTCAAAAGCGGTTTTAGACCGGCTAGAGAACAGCGATAGTAAATCAGAACCACTTGCAGAATTGAGTGATAATGATTTGTGGGGAAATTTTCCTAAAAATTACAGCCTACAATAAAAAACTATTTCCATGCGAAAAAATGGTACCGCTTTCAGCACAAAAAATCGGAAGGAATCATACCGCCAGGGAGGTTAATGCAGCTCTTCTGTGTGCCGGGCGCCCGCTCCCCTCCCTCCTCTCGGGCGGCCGCCCCAAAAGTCAGGACTCTGCAGCTAGCCTAGCAATGGGCAAACTACGGCCCGGCGGACCTTATAATCCGGCCCGCGGAGCGTGGCAAACATTGGCTGTCAGGATGTAGGCGGGGCAGCGTGACGAACTCCTCTCCTCTCACAGTCCGCCCTGAAGACCAGAACTGCGCGGGAACACGGCGAGAGGAACGCGCGGAGTACAGGTAAGTGAATTGACACAATATGGGAATGAATTACTATAGGGGGGATGAATTACTATATGGGGGATGAATTACTATATGGGGGATGAATTACTATATGGGGATGAATTGCTATAGGGGGGATGAATTACTATGGGGGATGAATTACTATAGGGGGGATGAATTACTATAGGGGGGATGAATTACTATGGGGGATGAATTACTATATGGGGGATGTATTTTCAGTTTTAAAAATGTGGCTCTCAAAATAAATTTTAATCGTGGTTTTGGCGAGATTTTGGCTCAGTTGAAAAAAAAGGTTGCCCACCACTGACCTAAGGCTATGATTGTGATTATGATGATACACTGTGGCCCTGATTAACCCTTTGCTTACTGGGCCCTTAAACCCCCTTCATGACCAGAGCGCTTTTTGCAATATATGCAGTGTCGGATTTGTTTTAAATGTTGCAATGGTTTTGCGGCTCCCAGTCTTTTTTTCCCTCTCGGAAACGGGTCCAAGTGGCTCTTTATGTCTTAAAGGTTGCAGACCCCTGACCTAGGAGAAGATCACACCTATATTTTGAAGGAAGATTGTTTTCGTGTGAAAATGGCCAATCAAAGACTAATATAATGCTAATGCTGCTCTCACGTGACTTTTGCATCATCTTGTATATATAAACTCACTTTTTCATTCCAATAAATTAGAAGTATTCACAGACTGAACTCGTGTGTCAGTGTGGGTTTTCTACAAGTGCGCACACATTCCAGAGCTAGCATGATTAATTAGGACAGGAACAGATAATCACCGGACACTTAGTCCGCACTAAAGCAGTATGGCCACCGTTTGTTTGGGTAAATGATTTCCATAATTGCTAAACAGAATTAAATATTTGTATCATAAAACTGCCCATTTATATGGGTTTTTCCAATTTTTCCTACATGTAAACATGTCTAATGAAAATTAGTTTAACCACTTCCTGTCTGGCCCATGTATATAAACGGCCGGACGGTGGCAGTGCAGGGGCGGGTTGCCGTTCATAAATGGTGCCCGCCATTTCAGACTGTGCGTGCTCCCTGGGAGCGCGCGGCACCGCAATTCGGTGCCTGCTGTGTTCAGAGAACACAGCAGAACACTGATCGCTGTATGGGACCTCTGTGTGAGGTCCCAATCAATGTGATCACTGATTGGCTGATCGGTGATCACATGAATAGGAGTAAGCAAGATGTCAATTCTGACATCATTGCGTACGTGTGAAATATGAATGATCACAGAGGACACATGGTACAAGGCTATTCACAACAGCCTTGTACCATGTGACAAGCTGTGACCAATCACAGCTCACACATTATTTGTTAATGGCTGCAAGAATGCAGTCAGAGGGAAAGAGAAATTATTGTGTTTACATCCTTTATGGGAGTAAAAGCAATCAGTGTAAAAAAAAAAAATCTTCATCACCCCCCCACAAGTAGTACAGTGTCACTGTACTGCTAGGGTGACAGTATGTTTTTAAAAAAACAAAACAAAAAAAACATAAATAGTAATATAAAAATATAAAATAAAAATGTGAAAACATTTTTTGAAAAATTATAATTTTTGGTTATAAACTAATTTGTGTTATTTTGTTTTACTAAAAAGATAACTGAATACATTTTGGCCAGTATTTATGAAGAAAGATTATTTATTTGCAAAATTTTATAAGAAAAACACATTTTTTAAAACATTTTTGGACTTTTTCTTTTATATAGCAAAAAAAAAAAATAACCCAGTGGTAAATAAATACCACCAAAATAAAGTTATATCTGTCTCAAAAAAATGCTAAAACATTTATATGGGTACAGTGTTGCATGACCACGCAATTGTCATTCAAAGTGTGACAGCGCTGAAAGCTGAAAATTGGCCTGGACAGGAAGGGGGTAAAAGTGTCCGGACATGAAATGGTTAATGTGCCTCTGACAGCCTCTTACATCTGATTGGAGGAAGACGAGAGCCCACAGCTACTATTTAATGCAACCAGTATAAAGTCTCCTGCTGTATATTCAATAATTGTCTATAATCTGACCAGGGCATGCTCCACATTTTGCTCTCCTAGCCCTGGAAGCAGATAGTATTTCTTTGTTGTAAGTAAATGTTTTACTCAAATGTATGCAAAGTTTACACTATACCCATCAACAATTTTTATCATTTGTTTCACACAAATAGAAGTTTCTTTTGGTGGTATTTAATTACCACTGAGTTTATTGTTTGTTAAATAGACAAAAAAACCCTAAAACATTTTTTAAAAAAAATGTTATTCTTCATTATGAAACATTTTGCCATGAAATAACCTTTCTTCATAAATTTAGGTCAAAATGTATTCTGCTACATTTCTTTGGTGAAAATAACCCGAATTAGTGTATATTATTTAGTATGTAGGAAAGTTATAGAGTCCACAAACTATGGTACAGTATATACCGGTGATGGCGAACCTATGGCACGCGTGCCAGAGCTGGCACGCAGAGCCATCTCAGTGGGCACGCCAGGAAGAAGAGGAAGAACGCGCTCTCCTGCGCACCCCCGGGGGCGCGCACCGGGCGATCTCCGTGATCGCTGTGTCCTACGGACACAGCTGATCACGTGACGTGGTAAAAGGCCAATCACAGCGGCCTTTTACCACGTGATCAGCCGTGTCCAATGACACGCTGATCACCGGGAAATGTAAATGCCGGTTCTCGGCTGCACTTTCCTCATGCTGTCAGATCGTGAGGAAAGTACTGCCGAAAACCGGCAGTTGTCAGAGCAGGGAACGGCACCGATCATCAGAGTCACTGATCATCAGTGCCCTGATGATCGGTGCCCAGCAGTGCCACACACAAGTTCAGCCCACCTGTGCCCAGCAATGCACCCACCTGTGCCCAGCAATGCACCCACCTGTGCCCAGCAGTGTGCCCACCTGTGCCCAGCAATGCACCCACCTGTGCCCAGCAATGCACCCACCTGTGCCCAGCAGTGTGCCCACCTGTGCCCAGCAATGCACCCACCTGTGCCCAGCAATGCACCCACCTGTGCCCAGCAGTGCGCCCACCTGTGCCCAGCAATGCACCCACCTGTGCCCAGCAGTGTGCCCACCTGTGCCCAGCAATGCACCTACCTGTGCCGCCCACCTGTGCCCAGAAGTGCCACCTACCTGTGCCCAGTAGTGCCACCCACCTGTGCCAACCCACCTGTGCCCACCAGTGCCACCCACCTGTGCCCACCAGTGCCACCCATCAGTGCAGCCCAGCAGTGCTACCAGTCAGTGCCACCAGTCAGTGCCCACTGGTTGTGCCAGTCAGTGCCCAGCAGTGCCGCCAGTCAGTGTCCAGCAGTGATGTCAGTCAGTGCCACCTATCAGTGCTGTCTATCAGTACCCATTATCAGTGTCGCCTATCAGTGCCACCAATCAGTGCCGCATATCAGTGCCACCTATCTGTGACACCTCATAATGCTGCCCATCAGTGTCACCCATCAATGATGCCCAGCAGTGCCGCCGGTCAGTGCCGTCTGTCAGTGCCTCTAGTTGGTGCTATCAGTCAGTGCCGCTTATCAGTGCCCATCATTTCCTGCATATCAGTGCATCATCAGTGCCTCCTCATCAATGCTCACCAGTGCCGCCTCATCAGTGCTACCTTACTGTGCCGCCTCATCAATGCCCCTCAGTGCTGCCTATCAGTGCAGCCTCACCAACGCACATCAAAGAAAAAATATTACCTGTTTACAAAATTTTAGAATAGAAGCAAAGGAAACCTTTTATGTTTTTAATTTTTTGCTCTTTTTTCATTTATAGTGCAAAAAATAAAACACCCAGTGGTGATTAAATACCACCAAAAAAAGCTCTATTTGTGTGAAAAAATGATAAAAATTGCATATGGTTAGAGTGTTGCATGACCGCACAATTGTCATTGTTAAGTGCAACAGCACTGAAAGCTGAAAATTGTCCTGGGCAGGGAGGGGGTAGAAGTGCCCGGTAGGCAAGTGATTAATTCCAGTGTTGGCACTTTGAAATAAAAAAGTTGGTTTTGTGTTGCAGTTTGGGCACTCGGGCTCAAAAAGGTTCGCCATCACTGGTATATACAATGCTCAGCATAAATGCATACACCCCATTTGAAAAGTAAGATTTTAATCAATATCTCAATGAACACAAGAACAATTTCCAAAACTGAGTTTTATAGAACATTTGTTTAGCTCATTACATGAAAGTAAGGTTAATATTATAACTTATAATAAATTAATAGACAGACTCTTACTATAACCCCTCAAGAAAAGTCACACTTTCACCATTGAAAGCAAAATTATAACTTAAACCTTTTCTCTTAATGAAACTCAAAACCCTTTACACCAAAATATCAAACTATATAAATATAAATAAGAATAAATAAATAAAACAAAAAAATATAAGAAAAATGTAAAATAAAAAATGTAAATTCGAAAGTCCAAAATCTAGCGTCTAAATATTAGTGTCCAAATATAATATCCAAATAAGAGTAATTCATCAAAAATGTTTCAATCCAGTGTGTCCAACTTAATTATCCATTCTAGACCACGTAATACCTCAAGAAAATATAACTGAAATAGTGTATTACCTTCAAAAATTCACTTAAATGTATATACCTTTAAACAAATAAGTATATACTTAATCGGTGCAAATTAAATAATAAATAATCAGATTCAACTGTGAGTGACACATGAATCATGCAAGAAAAAGCACTGTGTACATTCCAATAAACATGAAAAATTGTGTACACCTAGAAAAAAAAAGAAATTCAATATAACTATATATTAAATAAATCAATAAATCAAATAAAATCAAATATAGTGAAACAAATTAATCACTCAATCAATCCGTGAAGTGAGCACTCCGTGACCACCTCTAAATAGTGAGATTAAATGCAATTATCCTCATGGAGTAAAATCAAGCTTAGCAGGATATACAGTCAGGTCCTAAATATTGGGACATCGACACAATTCTAACATTTTTGGCTCTATAAACCAGCACAATGGATATGAAATGAAACGAACAAGATGTGCTTTAACTGCAGACTGTCAGCTTTAATTTGAGGTTATTTACATCCAAATCAGGTGAACGGTGTAGGAATTACAAAGTTTGCATATGTGCCTCCCACTTGTTAAGGGACCAAAAGTAATGGGACAAATGGCTTCTCAGCTGTTCCATGGCCAGGTGTGTGTTATTCCCTCATTATCCCAATTACAATGAGCAGATAAAAGGTCCAAAGTTCATTTCAAGTGTGCTATTTGCATTTGGAATCTGTTGCTGTCAACTCTCAAGATGAGATCCAAAGAGCTGTCACTATCAGTGAAGCAAGCCATCATTAGGCTGAAAAAAAACAAAACAAACCCATCAGAGAGATAGCAAAAACATTAGGCGTGGCCAAAACAACTGTTTGGAACATTCTTAAAAAGAAGGAACTACTTTACTGCATTACTTTAACTGACATCAGCGCGGTCATGCAACACTGCACCCAAATGAAATTTATGTCCTTTTTCTCCCAGAAATTGAGCTTTCTTTTGGTGGTATTTGATCACCTGTGCATTTTTTTTTTTACGCTATAAAAAAAAAGACCAACAATTTTGAGAAAAAAACTATATTTATGACTTTTTGCTATTAAACATGTCCAGTAAAAAAATTTTTAAAATCAAATGTCATCATAAATTTAGGCCAAAATGTATTCTGATACATGTCTTTGCTAAAAAAAATCCCAATACTTGTAAATTAATTGGTTTACGTGAAAATTATAGCGTTTACAAATGGCGGTATATATACTGGAATTTTTGTTTTGTTTTGCTAGTAATGGCGGCGACCTGCGACTTATAGAAGGACTGTGGGACTGTGGCGGGCATTCTGACACTGTGTGGGAACTGACTAACTATCACTGGCATCCCCAGTGACAATAATACAGTGATCAGTGCTAATAAAAAGCACTGACACTGTACTAATGACACTGGGCAGGAAGGGGTTAACATCTGGGACAATCAAAGGGGTTAACTTTGTGCTGTTTTACTGTGTGTGTTTTACAGTGTCAGCACATTGCTTTGTATTGCTCTGCAATGCAGAGCAATACAAAGCAGCGTGCTGGAGCTGACAGGGGAAAGATTTGTATTGGTTACATACAGACCTCTCCCCCATCAGTGATACTCAGCAATCACCGGGTGCTGTTGGGGAATCACCAGCCGGGACCCGGTGATCGACAGCTGAAGCTGCCAATAGAATGAATGAAGGTAAAATACCTTCAGCCTTTACAACCACCTTAAGATGGCAGCTTCCTTGGCTGAAAAGGATTAGAGGGTTTAATTCCCACTCATGTGCACACAACATCTGTTGATGCCCCTTTCAACGCTAGAACTCCTGGCAGGAAAAAGCTGTTTAACAAAATGCAGTAAAAGCCATGTATTGCACCTGTGTTTAGGCCCATTTAAGTGTTAATGCATCTTATTGCCAAGAGTATTCATTTATTCTGGCCATTGGAAAGCATTAACACTCAAATGCTCCACATTTTTTTCAGTTCTTCAGTTCCTCTCCTGAATGCACCTTTGGATGCTTTTTTTTTGGCCTGTAAACACTCCTCTTTTAATACTCCTATAAACCCCTATGTGTTTGTGGACGCATAGGCTTACCGAGACAAAACCCCCAAAACACTCAACATCTGTAACAGCAGCTTTTTTTTAAGCTCTGTGTGCATGATGCCTTAATTGTGTCAGGATTGTACTGCTGTCTGTGTAAGAGTTGTAGAAAATAGGCAGCCCCATAAAATTAAAATCCAAAGCCAAATGGTGGATAATATCCTAAGAGGTATACTTCAGGAGTGGAGGAAAGGAGTGGAAGTATGCTGATGATTCCTACTATATGAATAAGGTGTTTTTTATTTTTTGTTCTGGTAAGAGTATATATGCTTTTTCACTATAGAAGTGTACACTGTTGTGGTCACTTGTTTTTGCTGTATTCACAGAGTGATGCACTATCACTTACTTTGCACAGAGTAAATGTACATGGGAAAGGAATTATACTTTTTTGTGATGTGTTTATTAAGGTAATGCACTATTTAGTTTTTCTTTTTTTAGGTATTTTCTGTCCTTTAACCACCTTCCGCCCGACATATAGTACAATGACGGGCGCAAGGTGGTTCTCTCGTTCTGATAGGACGTCATATGACGTCCTTCCATTCTCATCACGCATGTGCGGTTCAGGGAGCGCAGCGCGGTTCAGGGAGCGCGCAGCGCGGCGATCGCCAGTGCGCGGTGTCCCTCGGACACAGCGGATCACGGAAAGAGCTGAAGATGGTGGCTTGGTCATGTGATCAGCTGTGTCCAATCACAGCTGATCACATGTAAACACGGAAATGCTGGTTATCGGCATTTCTCTCCTCTCGAGCTGTCACGCTGACAGCTCGAGAGGTGAGGAGGGCCAGTAATCGGCTTTCCGCGGAGGGGACATGTACACTGATCATCGGGGCACTGATGATCAGTGTGGCCCCAGAAGTGCCACCTGTCAGTGTCCATCAGTGCCAGCAGTCAGTGCTCATCAGTGCCACATCAATGCCACATATCGGTGCATACCAGTGCACATCAATGCCACATATCAGTGCCCATCTGAGCTGCCTTTCAATGTCACCCATCAGTGCCAGTCAGTGCCACCTATCAGTGCTGCCAATCAGTGCCACCTATCAGTGCCAGTCAGTGCCGTCTAACAGTGCCAGTCAGTGCTGCCTATCAGTGCCAGTCAGTGCCGGCTAACAGTGCCAGTCAGTGCCGCCTAACAGTGCCAGTAGGTGCTGCCTATCAGTACCAGTCAGTGCTGCCTATCAGTGCCAGTCAGTGCCGGATAACAGTGCCAGTCAGTGCCAGCTAAAAGTGCCAGTCAGTGCCGCCTAACAGTGCCAGTCAGTGCTGCCTAACAGTGCCAGTCAGTGCCGCCTAACAGTGCTGCCTATCAGTGCCATATATCAGTGTCATGTATCAGTGCTGCCTTTCAGTGCCCATAAGTGATGCCTGTCAATGCCCATCAGTGCAACCTACCAGTGCCTTCTCATCAGTGCCCATCAGTGCCACCTATCAGTGTCCA